TTTCTTTCAGAAATGTTTTATAGTTTTCAGTGTACAGATCTTTCACCTCTTTGGTTAAGTTTATTCCTAGGTATTTTATTCTTTTTGTTGCAATTGTAAATGGGATTGCACTCTTAATTTCTCTTTCTGCTACTTCGTTGTTAGTACAAACCAAAGTCTTAGCAGCCACATATACTGAAGTTCGTGTATACTGACCTCTCTAGTCTCTGCCCGGAAAAGACCTGCAAGAGGTTTAGGGGAACTATTCAGATTATTGTTGCCGGGGACATTTGCTGTCACTCCACACTCAAAGTTGATACTTGCACTTTTTACGTAATTGCAGCCCTGAAATACCAGGACTTGTAGTTTGGCAATGCTGCCACTAGGTGGAGCTGGCGTCTGAAACACAGGTCTCACGGAAGCTGGTGATAATGCTGTATATGCCAGGGCAAGGCCCTCAGATTCCTCGCCAGGAGTTTTCCAGTTATTTACTAACTCATTAATAATGATAAAAATAATAACAATAATAAAACATCTAGTTAAAATAGCCCAGGCATTACTTTGAAATATTGTGTAAAAAGACATGGGACTTGGGGTTAGTTTAATTTTTTTAAATTTCTGTTTATCTGTTTTTTGTATAATTAACATGTATTATATCATTTTTGAAAGGGAAAAATGAAAAGTGAATTCTTTGCAAAGCTACACTTTAGAGCAACTTTTAAAGAAACACAGGTCCCAGTGGGTACCTTTGTGTTATTAGTCTATTCTCAGGTAGCTTCTAGCAAGTCTGCTTGTAGTCAAAAGCTACAGCTTGAGGACCAGCGGAAGGTCTAGTGCCTCTGGGGGCTACGTAGCTAGTAGGGGCAAGGGATCTGCTTTCTACTGCAGCCATGATCTCTTCCTCCTAAGATTTTTAATGCTAGTATGGAAAATATATTTATTAATCTTTTTTACTATCTTACCAGAAGGTGTGGAATTTCCCCCTCAGTTAGAAGGGGATATTACCCTGATACCTGAGCAGAGAAGTAAAGCAGACCCTTTTCTTCTGTTTCTCAGATCGGAAGGAGTTACTTTGCTTACTATGACGAAGTTATTTGTTAGCTCTTAGTGTCAGATACTGGTGAACCTCCCATTTTTAAGAACTATGGGCCAGACCCCCTGATGGCCCTTTCAAACATTATTTCATATAATCCACACTTCAACCCAATGAGGCAGGTTGTTATAGATCTCATCTTTTTATAGATGAGAAAACTGAGGCATTTGAGAGAATAAGCGCATAGCCTTTAACTAATAGAGGCCAGAGTCTAGACTTTCTAGAAAAGGGGTGTGGTGCTAGCTGGGGCTTTAATTACAAAGAACCTAAAGTAGAGAGGTTGTGTCCCTTTATCATAGAATATTTTGAAGCAAAATGTAAATATGGTATTGTGCAAACTACAGATTTAAATTGGTTCACGTAGCTGGAAGACCTGTAAGAAATTTCTCACTTCAAGGGAATCCAGTGTTTGTTTCAGCATTGTTTAGCTGTTTTCTCCCCCAAAAGTGGTAACATCTAAATGCCCATTATTAAGGGATTTGTTAAATAAATTATGGTATATCAATATGAAGTGAAATACTATTCAGCCATTAAAAAGAATAGCTAGCTGGATGTACTTATATGGGAAAATCACCGTGACTTATTAGATGAGAAAAGAAAATTGCAGAATAATAAGTACTATTCCTTGGTTTTAAAAAAAAGTATGTGCTTGTAATCTGTATTTTTTTCTCCTTCATGTTGAATTTATTTTTTAACTTTCTAATGAAATATATTTTATATACAGTGATATTTACAGATCTTAAGTGTACAGTAGTACTTAAGTCTGGAATAATATACTCTAAACTTCTAAGAACAGTTACCACTAGGGAATGAGATTAGCGTGAGGGGAGGATCTTTCACTTTTTGCTTTGTTTGGATTTTTTGTGATGAGCATGTGTTCCTTTTATAAAGGTTTGTGTGTGTATTTTTTTAACAAAGAAAAAAGACCCACGTGTTCACAGTCATGGTCATCTTGAGAAGCCTCGCAGGGATCCGTCTTCTATCCTGAAATCTCCTCTCCTTAATAGGAGAATTTGCCAGGGAAATTTAACTTCAGCAGCTGAGGATTTGGGGAGCCAAAGGTGACAGAAATAACAGCCACTCGCATGTTGTTTCTTAGCAGACTCTGTCCTTTGTCTGTGCATCCTGTCTTGGGCGCCGCCCTCTATCCGTCTCCAGCTCTTCATTGTTAGGAAGAAAATAGGCTGCACTGAGGTTCCTTCCAATTCTCTGGGCACTGGGAACACCTCCTTATTTAATACATTTGTGACTGAGTGGGTTAAGTAGTTCTAGTTCTTAAGATAAACGAGCTCAAAAGGGCAAAAATAGCATGTATTCCTTTTTGTTTCCCTATAACATACAGCACTGCATCTTGCCTGTCACAAGCAGATAATGATTATTGAATAAATTAACAATTTATACAATTGAATACTGAATTTCGTGGACACTGTCATCTCCTGACTCCCTCCCTACCTCTGTCAACACCTCTGCCCACCCTCTCTTACTTTCAGAGTCAGTTACTTTCCTGTCCCCTTGTTTACCAATCAGAATAGCCTCGGTATTGGGGCTGGGTGGGTGGTGTTGGAGGGAGAGGCTAAAATGAGGTTAGTTTTCTCATCAGTGGTTTCATTATCAGCAAAATACTAGGCCCTTGGGTAAATAAAAGCCGGGGGAGGGAGTGTGTTGGCATTCCAGAATCAAGGTCCCAGCTTGGGCAGTGCGGCGCCTCCACCACCCTGACCGTGAAGTGGATGCGAGGAGACCCCTTCCTGCTCCCTGCGATTTGAGACTGGGGTCACTGCCACAGGTCTCCCTGGATCAGAGTCTTAGGACTCCAATAATCACATGGCTCCTTCCACTGCCTCCCTTTACCTTTTTCAACCTTTAACTGGTTAAAATCATATCCTAGACCAGTCAGCAGAAGCTCTGCCTACTCCCAATGGTTAGGCTCATGGTTAGGCTCAGTGACAAAGTAACAAAGCTAAGGTTAGTTTCCATGTTTTCTGACTCCCATCCTGCCCATATTTCCTCTTAATCACTTAATAAAAAGACTGATCCTGTAGTACACTAGCATAAGGAAGTGTTTTGGGTTCACTAGCATTGAAAGCACCAGCGTCGTAAGCAAAGAGAGCCTTACCTTTCTGAGGGAAAGGAAGGGAATTAATTTTTTTTGATTGATGTCTTAATAGTTTATAACATTGTGAAATTATGGTTGTACATTACTGTTTGTCAGTCACCATATACATGTCTAGGAAGGGAATTAATTTTTATTGCCAACTATGTGCCAGAATACTGTGTCTACAAACATTATCTCATTTAATCCTATGACAACCCTGCAAGACTGATATTATCACCACCCCCATTTCACCACTGAGATAACAGAGGCTTCAAAATAGAGAGTGAGCCGGGGCTGTCTGGCTCCAGAGCCTGTGCTGTCTCCACTCACCGTGGCTTGAGAGCTGGCACTAACTGCTGCTGATAACAGCCGAGGAGATAACGTTGGTAAAGTGCCTAGTGTGGTGTCTGGCACGTACTTTAGAAGGTGTTCTTCCCAACAGCCTCAGCCCCTCGGTCACCTCCTACCCTCCTGTTGGAAGCGTCTACCAATAATTTCTTTTCACTATACTTTTAACAGGACCTAGGACAGTGATCCACCCTAAGGCACGAATTATTGCAGAAGACGGGCCCATAGTGATTGGCGAAGGTAACCTAATAGAAGAACAGGCACTTATCATAAATGCGTGAGTAAGACTCTTATAGATTCTCTGAACTAAGGACCACAGAGTGTTTTTATTAATTTCAGCTATTTATGGGAACCTTTTACAACTGACATCTGGAAAGCCCACTATTTTAGAACTAGAGATCTTTTTCATTAAGTTACATTAAGGATTCAACATTAAGGATCTTTTTCAACACAAGTGATTTGTGAATGAGGAAACCAAAGACCAGATGGGTGAGGAGCCTTGTCCAAGGTGAGCTAGCTCGTTGGTGGCGGACTAGAATCTCTGACGCTCAGTCTGATAATCTTTCCTTCACGGGTCACTACCTCTTCTGTTCCTTAAGCAGACGTTTCCTGAGTACCTCCAACGTTCAAGGGCTGTGCTGACCTCCCTGAAGAGAGTCTCTGGTTGGATTTCTTGGTTCTGGCTGACATGTTATTATTACTCATGCCCAGGCACATGAACTTAACTCTGATATATATTTTCATATGCTTTGTAGGGGTACACCCAGAATTGTATTTGAAAAATTGGGAGTCCTAGTGGCAATTTTTAAACTTTAAAGATTAAAAAAATAATAAAATATTAGAACATGTACATGATCTTAGTGAACTGGACTGTAATACCTATGAAATTTTCATAAGCATTTGTAAAGCTTTCTAGATAAAAATTTGGCAGGAAATTCAAGCTTATACCTAATTTATAGCAACAATGTATGGAATTTGTAAGAAAGACCTTGGGAAAATATTTAACTGTGATAAAGAGATTGATTTGTCTTAATGCTTACTTAGAATCTGGGAGTTTCTTACTATATTAAGCACTTTCTTTTTAAAATATGTTTTGGCACCTTTAGTGTAAGTCAATTAACAATAGCTATATTCTGCAGTAACTCAACTGTCAGAGATAAAATACCATTTTAAAATGGCTTCCTCCTCTTAGACCACAAACATTTTATGTTCCAAATACTTCAACTAACTATGTTACAGCATAAAATAATTATTTTATGTGAATATCTGTTTATGTTTCACAATCTCAAATGATTGATTATTAAGAATGGAAAATTTTCAAGTTGAGCATGATTTTGTTTCTAGTTTAACAAGCTAAAAGTCATAGCCAACATCTTTTTTTACTTTGTCCTGGGAAAGGCCCTCTGGGCTTTGAGTTTAAAAAATAAGCAAAGGAAGGCTGACCTTCTGTACACACCTAGGACTTCTTTACATCTCAGTAGTTCTTTTTCAACTCAGAATCAAGTCTTCTCCAGCATAGAGGATAAATAAGTCACTTGGATTAAGAAATTACTTACATGGTTACATATTTTAAGCTTCATGGAAGTAAAATTGAAAGAGCCCAGATTTTAAAACAGGAGAATTTCTTATTGCATTATTGACTTTTTGACCATCTATCTCTTCCTTTTATAGTCATCCTGATAATATCACCCCTGATGCTGAAGATCCAGAACCCAAACCTATGATCATTGGCACCAATAATGTGTTTGAAGTTGGCTGTTGTATCCTTTACAATAATTTAAGACAAATCATTCCCAGCTCTCTTTTAGTATCCAAATCTCCTCCATGGAAGTTGTCATAGTTTACCTATCAAATATATTACATAAAATACAAATATATAAATAAAATATATAAATTACATTTTTAGAACCAGGCCATCCAGCTCTTTGAAACGACTTATTTTCAGTACCTCAAAAAAATTACCCCCTTTCTTCCATTGGATAACCCAATAGAGTAAAGGAAGCATGCTGTTTTCAGGGGCGTGTGCACGTGCGTGCTCGTGTGTGCACACGCACACACACACATCTTTAGGTGCCGTCTTGCTCCTGTTGCTACAACTTGTTGACAGGTAGCAATGAGTGGCAGTAGACACAGAAACAGAGTAATCCTGGCTTCTATCCTGACTTAAGAACCACAGTTCTATCCATTTGATTTCTGTAGTTTTAGGTTGACAGTATGTTGTCTGATGCAAGGAAATGGTGGATGGGGATGAAAATATTTCATTCTTTGTTTTTCTTCCCCTAGAGTATCACCAGTTCTTTTGCTTGATTTTGTGCTCTAAAAAGATAACAACATCTTTTCATGCTGTCAGCAAAACATTTTATAATAGAAAATACTTGGAGGGAAAAATCTAAATGTTTAATGATAGCAAAATATTTAAATAAACTACAAGCGTAAAATGGACTATTAGGACTATTTTTTTTTTTTAATTTTTTGTTTATTGCAGTAACATTGGTTTATAACATTGTAAAAATTTCAGGTGTACATCATTGTACTTCTATTTCTGCATGGACTACATCATGTTCACCACCAAAATACTAATTACAACCCATCACCACACACATAAAAATATGGAACGCTTCACGAATTTGCGTGTCATCTTTGCGCAGGGGCCATGCTAATCTTCTCTGTATCGTTCCAATTTTAGTATATGTGCTGCCGAAGCGAGCACGACTATTAGGATTATTAAGCACAGTCATTTAAAATTATATTTTTATGGGGGCCAGCCCGGTGGTGCAAGCGGTTAAGTGTGCACGCTCCGCTGCGGCGGCCTGGGGTTCGCCAGTTCAGATCCTGGGCGTGCACCGACGCACCGCTTGGCAAGCCATGCTATGGCGGCGTCCCATATAAAGTGGAGGAAGTTGGGCATGGATGTTAGCCCAGGGCCAGTCTTCCTCAGCAAAAAAAAAAGAGGAGGATTGGCAGATGCTAGCTCAGGGCCGATCTTACTCAAAAAAAAAAAAAAATTATATTTTTAAAGATTTTAATGGTACAGAATAATGCTTGCAAATTTAAGTGACCCGAATAAAGTGAGATGCAAAAGTTTATGCAGTTTGATTCCCAGTTATATAAAGAGAATTATATATATTTACATGAAGGTATATCAAACCATTAACAGTGTTATCTTTAAGTGATTTAGTGATAGGTAGTTTTAATTTTCATAAAACAATTGTGAAAATATATTACTGTCAACTTGGGATATAAGGTGCTCATTTCTTTGAAAAACATAGAAGTCATTATTTATACTTAGAGATATTTATATTTAAAGATTAAAACTTTACTTTCCAACTGCCCTGTATGGAGTTCTGGCCAGGCTGAGCCTGCGTGGCCTTCCCATGTCTCTGTCCACTGCCCCGGTGCAGGATGAAGGCATAGTAAATTAGTAGAGAAAAAAGATGAACATATTTACTGTTTCCTTACCTCTGGCTTACAGATTCCCAAGCCATGAAAATGGGAGATAATAATGTTATTGAATCAAAAGGTAAGCTGTGTTTGGAATTTTGTTGTGAAGAGTGATTACCTCCTCTCTCTTTGTGGTGTCCTGGAAAACTACCTAAGTACAAATTATGGCAGAGTGATGTGGTTGGAGGGAAGGCGTGGCTGGAAGTGGACTAAAATAGCTGTGAGACTAATTCTTTGCTTTTAAGGAACCTAATTTAGTTATGTGTTTAATACATTAAATTAAAAATTCAGCTGTGTACATTTAAATCAGAATTGAATTAGGGGCCAGCCCAGTGGCATAGTGGTTGAGTGCACACGCTCCGCTGCGGCGGCCCGGGGTTCGGATCTCATGCGCACACTAAGGCACCACTTGTCAACCCATGCTGTGGCGCCGTCCCGTATAAAGTAGAGGAAGATGGGCACGGATGTTAGCCCAGGGCCAATCCTCAGCAAAAAGAGGAGGACTGGCAGATGTTAGCTCAGGGCTGATCTTCCTCACCAAAAAAAAAAAGAATTGAATTAAACCATAAAATTCAGATGAAAGATTTAAAAAATATTTCTACTGAAAACTAGTGTCAGTGATAATTTAGTTGATTAATGTTATTGTAGAGTTAAAGAAAGAAAAATCAGTTTACCCAGCACTTTGCTTTCTTAAATTTCAGGACTACCTTACCCTAGCCAGTCAGAAAGAAATGGAAGCTACTGATCGTAAGTGGGGCTAGGCAGAGGGTCATGGAAAGTCACCACCACTGGGAAGCAGCTCCAAGAGCTTGTCCCACTAAGGTCCGGAAAGAACCTGAACGATGAGACTAATTTAAAATAATGGTTTTTGGCATGAAAGAAAATGCTTCCTTTTCTAAATAATAAAATTAGACTTTTTGTTAATCTACTTAATAGTTTTTGTTTTAATTTGGATTACCAATTATTATTATTATTATCATTGTCATTTCCTGTTTATTATATACTTACTATGTGTCAAACTGTGCTCAGCACTTTACTATCTCATTTGTTCCTTACAGCAAACTGTGAAACAGGATGGTCTCTCCATCTTAGAGATAAACTTTCTCAGAGAATTTACGTGACTTTCCCAAGGTCACACAGCCAGCCAGCAGCAGAGCTCTGTTTTGAATCCATCTAATACTCATCTGGTGCCTGCCTCTATGCTGTACAGTCATACATCACTTAATGACAGGGATACATTCAGAGAAATGCATCTTTAGGCGATTTTGTTGCTGTGTGAGTGGCACAGAGTGTATCTACACAAACCTTGATGGTATAGCCTACTACATACCTAGGCTATATGGTACTAATCTTATGGAACTATCATCCTACATGCGGTCCATCATTGACCAAAATGTCGTTATGTGGACCAAAACAAACTCTAAACTGAAGTATTTTCTTTAATTTTTTTCTTAAGGCCAGTTTGCATGTTTATATTTAAATCATCTCAGAAAAAAAGTGTTCTAATCATTTGATGTCTTAAATTGCAGTTCTTTCTATGTTTTTGCTGCAGCATATGTAGGCAGAAATGTAATATTGACAAGCGGTTGCATCATTGGGGCTTGTTGCAACCTGAATACATTTGAAGTCATCCCTGAGAATACAGTGATCTATGGTGCAGACTGCCTTCGTCGGGTGCAGACTGAGCGACCACAGGTACGTACTTAGAACCTCACTTGAAAAAGAGTTCTTTCTAGGGCTGCTTATTTTCCCAAAATACCACATAATTGTTTTAATGGGGCAGCAAGTTTGCTATTTAAAAAGCAAATGATTAAAGTAAAACATCAGAGACACATTCCTAAAACTAGAATTTATATCAAAAATATGTAGAGGCCGGCCTGATGGCGTAGTGGTTAAGTTGGTGCGCTCTGATTCAGCGGCCCAGGGTTCGCAGGCTCAGATCCCAGGTGCAGACCTACACACCGCTCATCAAGCCATCTTGTGGCAGCGTCCCATATAGAAAATAGAGGGAGATGAGCACAGTTGTTAGCTCAGAGCCAATCTTCCTCACCAAAATAAATAAATAAATAAATAAAAATATATACAAAGATGACAATGACAAATTGATTATGGGAAAAGAAAATCCAGAGATGTTACTCCTGGTGTTATGGGTTTTCACTGAAGATGCATCACCAAACCTTATGAACTATATTGATTCACTCCTAAAATATCAGTCTTCGAGGGTAAGGAATGACCCTACCAAATTTATACTGGACAGCCAACTGGGGTCTGTCTATACTAACAAAGTTGGCTTGAAAATAAACACAGCTATGTGAATATGCAAACATGTTTGGATATTTTCCTGGTTTATGAGAAATTATCCCCTCCTAATAACCAAGAATAATGAAGAGTCGGTATTAGGAGTTTCATTTTGGAGAAGGAGATGAATAAGATAGGGCATTTGGGGCTTCCTTTGGACAGAAGACATTCTGATTGAAGTTTTGAGCCTCATTGCTTGGCATACTAAATGTTTTTCTGAAGTTACCCAGCCTCCTTCCCTTCTCTCCTAAAAGAAAATATTTTTTAAGACATTTATCACTTTGCCTCTGATTCTTAGCCATATTTTGTCAGAAATTAAAACTCCAGTTCTTTCTGGGTTATTCTATTTCTGTAATGTTGGCTTTTGCTATTATTATTATAAGCAAGTATTACTTCTATAGACTAAAAAGGAAATAAGAACAAATCCAGTATTTTTTCACTAACTTTCTGCACAACAACAAAAATGATTGAAGAGAGAGAAATGAAGCTGGAGTGGGGAAAGGGAGGTTAGAATTAAGTGAGCAGGAGTATCTGAAGTTTCATACATAGTAGTATGCAACACCGTTTTCCAAATTTCACTGATGATAAGGATCACATAGAGGTCCTTATTAAAAAAAAGGATTCCTAAGACTTACTGAATCAGAGCGTCTAGGGCAAGAGTCTAAAAATCCATATTTTTTACTACCCTAAGCAAGTTTTGCAATGAGGGAAGTTTGGGCAAAGCTGGTATATGAGAATGAAGATCAGATGCGTATCACAGCTGTGTGCTGTGAGGTCGTGTGGAAAGCAGTGTACTCTGAGTATTTTACTTATGTTGTCTTCTGTAATTGGAACTGTTTAACTTTTTAGAAGCCAGGGTGAAATCTACAAAAGTAAGGTTGAAAACTTGAATCATATATGATTTTATATATAAAATATTTTGGCTTCTTATTACCAAACTTAATATATGTTCATTGTAAATTAAAAAAAAAAAAAAAGGTAAGCTAAAATAAGTTGGTGAAAATCACCTGTAATTCCACGATGTAGTGATAATCATTTCTACCTGGTACTCTTTGCTTTCTGCTGGTCAATTCTTTTTTTTTTTTTAATTTTTTTTATTTGTTTATTTTTCCCCCAAAGCCCCAGTAGATAGTTGTATGTCATAGCTGCACATCCTTCTAGTTGCTGTATGTGGGACACGGCCTCAGCATGGCCGGAGAAGCCGTGTGTCAGTGCGTGCCCAGGATCCGAACCCGGGCTGCCAGTAGCAGAGCGCGTGCACTTAACTGCTAAGCCACGGGGCCAGCCGTCTGCTGGTTAATTCTTAATTATCTTATCTTTGTAGCCCCAGACACTACAGCTGGATTTCCTGATGAAAATCTTGCCAAACTACCACCACCTAAAGAAGACTATGAAAGGAAGCTCAACTCCAGTTAAGAACTAAGAACAATGTATGACGTCAAGATAACATTTGTCTTTGACCACTGTCTTTTGAAGGGGCCACAGTGTTTATGCACTCTTAGCAGTTCACAGAATAATACATGTTGACTTTATTCTGTAAAATTGAATTAGGTAGAGAAGTAATGGATTGTCATTGTAACTATCCTCTATAATTTATATACAGTGTATTATTTTCCTATATTCTTTCTCCTGATAATTTTCAGATTTAGTTTACTTTTCTTTTGTTATTTAAAATGTTGGCTACAAATTTTAGTTATATAGAAGACTACCCATGATAAGAAAGGGCATATTGTTATGTATTTATATTCCAACATATACTAAACTAAATAAAAATGTTGATGACAGTACTTTTAGTGAACATACTTGAATTGGTTTTTCTACTTGCATTAACTTTCCCAAAATAGCTCTTTTAATTTTTATTGTGTACTAGCTATAGTAAAGCTAATGTGTTTATCTTTTTGTGGATTTGTAGCTATTTAAAGTATCAGGTGAAATTTCAGCAGCTACTGAATTAATTTAGACTTCTTTCCAAGAGAAAAATTTTTGTTCTTCTTCCTAACACAAAAGTAACCAGGGAAAGAAGTATTCAGGAGACTACAAAGTCAAAAAGAATGCCGTCTGATGAAAATGACAAATAAATGACCACTGAGTGGTATTCCTGGTTTCTGAGGACAGTGAAACTAAAAGAGATTTTGATATATTTATAAATTTATGAAGTTATTTTGGCATATTACTAATCACTAATTATTAACCTGATATAATTCTGTTTATCTAATTACATAATGGGCAGAATATTGAGGATTTTATTGTAATTCCAAGTTTTGTAAATAATTTAAGTGCATACGTTGAATGGAACATACTTTTCAACTTTTGAATTAAGCAATGTTGATTAATACTAAGACATTAAATACTAAAATATTTTCTCTTGAAATTTAATTGTGGATAGTAAAAACTACTTTTGAGGGGCTGGCCCCGTGGCCTAGTGGTTAAGTTCAGAGCACTCTGCTTTGGTGGCCTGGGATTGGTTCCGGGGTGCAGACCTGCACCACTCATTGGTGGCCATGCTATGGCGGTGACCCACAGACGAAATAAAGGAAGATTGGCACAGATGTTAGCTCAGGGCGAATCTTCCTCAGCAAAAAAAAAAACTACTTTTGAATTTCTGAAACTGACCAAGTACACATCAGCCTTTGTTCCAAATTTGAATGACTTGATTTTGGTAAGAATACTCATGACTCAAGTTAGCAAACTGTTCTATTGCATATAGTGGATTGAAAAAGGAGAACATCACATAAATGCCCTATTTTTGATAACTTCTATTTATTCATTTTTCATTTTCTAGATAAAAGATGAGAAATTACAAAACCGCCTTTGAAATGCTGTGCCAGTTCTAAAATATTATCTCTGGACAAGCTCTGATATGCTAATAAATGTCCTCTGGTCTGAACAGTACAGGTAGTGTGAAGACAACAGTGAGATTCCTCCCAAGGACTTGGTAATAAGACACCCTCAGAGATTAAACTAATTAAATTAACATGTGGTGAGACGAGCCTCAATGTTTCCCAGGTACACTGTGGTTTTTAGTTGATGTTAACTCATTTGAGGAAAGAAAATGTGAACAGAAACCTACCAAGACTTCGGAGAAACAAAATATGACAATGTGTATACAGTGTTACCACAGAGAGGAGGTACTGAATCCAAGAGATGTGACCGTCAGTGACCCAAAGTGTCCTCTACTTCAGGGAGTATCAGTTTATCAAGACTTGCTGTGGCTTGGGAAGAACATACCTTGAGACATGCCACTTTTGGCTCTAATTGCAAGCTTAACTGAACCACCTTTTGATTGCTAATATGGCCTGCAAGCTATCATTCAGGAAAAGGAGGAACTCTGGATGAGAGCCAGAATTCCATTCCGCACGTAGTACATTTAGAGAAACTTTCTGACTGATACATCCGTCTCATGTGAATTTAGTTTGTATAGTTATTCCCTGAGTCTGTCAATTTAGTCTACAAGTTCTGAATATTCTGATAAAATACAGTTTCTGACCCTTCAGGACAAAGAACCAAAGGCCAAACAGTTTATCGCAAACTTCACTCTTGGCGGCTTCTCCATAGCCAGGCTACCAGCCTTCTCCTAGTAACAGTATTGCTCTCAAATTTCATCACAGATATTCTGGGCAATTATGCTAAATGGTGGGACAAACCCTGCCATGCTTGTGACACAAAAAGTAGCAGCTGGGCAGAGAAAAGGAGGAAACCATTTTATCACAGTATCTTACTGCAATTTGGCCATAGCTCTTAGGTCAAGGTGATGGATTTTCACCAATTGAATAGCATCGGATCTAGAAAGGGTTCTTTGCTCTCTTCTTCACTTCATCCATACACCCACTGCAGTAGTTAACCTATGCTGTGTAGGAAATTACCCCCAAAATATAGCAGCTTAAAACAATGCACATTTATTATCTTACATGGTTTCTGCAGGTCCATTCTGGGGATGGCTCAGCTGGGGGCTCTGGCGTAGGGTCCTTGATGAGGTTTCACTCAGGCAGCAGCGAGACCTGCAGTCCTCTGAAGCTGGCGTGGAGCTGGAGGATACGCCTCCAAGATGACGGCCTCGCGGCGCAGTTGGCACGAGGCCTCTGTTCCGCACTGCTCGAGCCTCTCCGCAGGGCTGCTGAGCGTCCTCACGCCATGGCAGTGGGCTTCCTTCAGCTTCCCTCACATCCAAGCAAGGAAAGACCTAGTTTCTAAAGTTGCACACCGTCACTTCCACTTCATTTTATTTGTTGGAATCCAGTCACTAAGTCCGTCGCATACTCGGGGCGGGGACTAGGCTCCACCTTTTGATGGAGGCATCCAGGAATCCATATTCACGTTCTAAAGCCACCAGCGTACCCACACATCCATTTACACCTGGGTTCCACCCTGGGGCACTGTCAGCATCTCTTAGGGGCTCCACACCGTGGGGAAGTGGCTTTAGGAAGGGCTGCTATCTATTAATGGGCACGGCACACGACATCATCAAAGATCTTCGTCTGAGAATCTTCTGTAAATGCTGTCTTCTTATTAACTTACTATTAGTTCCTAGTAAATTGTGAATTACTAATAAGTTACTAGTGAATTACTAATTCTTTACTAATTAACTGTGGTGGTAAATTGTGTTTTTGTTGTTTTTACTTATGAAAGTAATATAATTTCATTTTACACAACTTAGGGAGTGAGGAGGAAATATTTCTCATTCCATGGCCCACCCTCAAGCACCACCACTTTTATCATTTTGGTGGCTGATTCTTAGTGTGCAGTCCAACCATTAATGAAGGTGAAGGACGATCCTTTAATCTCAGAGCTTTATAATCCCCACTGTAGACCTGCTGTTTTATCACAAGAGGGCACCAGGAAACAGGATAGTTTTTCCCCTATTGCTTCACAAATGGTTTCTCTTGGAGAGTTTTATTATCCTTAGTAATCTGACCCCTATTAAGACTACTTTAGACTTCAGTACTTTATTAAACATAAACTAGGAACAGTTCTTTTCCTGCCTCCTTCAAAGGGAGATATATTTTAATATTTCAGAGCATTCACCAGGAGTAGACCCAGTGACACTAAACACAGCCAAATGGAGTTTCAGGCATTGTGTCCTCCCGCAGAGAAGCATTGCTGGTCCTCCTAGATACCTGGCAAAGAAAGGTTTGGTTAAATCTTCTTTGCTGGCATTCCTCTCAAAAGAGTTTCAGCACTAACTTCATGTGAGTTTGAGCGCTAAGTCTCTGAATTTAGATTTTTCATTTCTTAAACCAATTCAGCTTTCCTATGGTTCAGATCGTTGAACCAGTCTCTATTCTCTGTGAAAAATATGCCCGATGCTCAAGGCCCACCCGATTTTTACAACTAGTAAATAGGCTAGTCTCTGATGGGCTAAGCACTTCTCTAATTGAGTTGTGTGCTTTCAAAAGTCAGTCATTCGTTCCCAAACTTGTTTATGCAAATTGTACTTAATAATTACATAATTTAACTCAATATTACCAAAATCAAACAGATATGAGTGTGAAGAGTTGTAATCTCTATGAAAATAAGTTGAATGCTTGGAAAAGACCTGATAAAGACAGGTCTTTATCAAGAAAAAAAATGCTGTGGAATTAGGTGTGGGCAAAACAAATGTGAAAGTTTGGGTGGACGACAGAGTTGTAAAAATCTAGATGAATTCTGCCCTCACTTTTCTCCACAAGTGTCTCCAGTCCTCACTCCACTGAAACTAAAATTGACAATGCTACTTGCTGTGTTAATGGATGTCTTATGTGGAGCCACAGTGAGTAGACCCCACTTAAAGAAAAGGCCTTAGCCTGATAATCAAAGGAGTGATAGATGAATGGACTTGTATATGTTTTAAATTAAAAATAAAGTTTTAAGGATATTTACTATAATTTTGTGATTCCCCAAGTTAACTGACTTTTCTCTTTGACCGACTACAGATCCTGACTACATAGGGCAAGAGAGCTTCCATGGTATAATTCCAGGAACTGCCAACCATACATGGCTACAGGGAAATGAATTTCCTGGACCTCAGCTTGCTAATGACTTATGTACACTTTCAAAGGAATAACCTCTTTTTTACAAAGATTATATAAAGTCCCTTATCTCTGAGTTAGATGTGCTTGATTTTTAATATAGCAGATTTTTATATCTTAATTACCTATAATGTGTCTAAGCCTACTAGCTGAAAGAATGGTTTCAGGCCTTTCAACTTATCCTGTAACTGTGCCTAAAATATATTTTTACTTTGGCCTTTTCACTTAAGGCTGGCTGGCACAATTGTAGATGTTGATCTGTATGGCTTAGATGCTTAGCGCCCAAAAGGAAGACTGTGACTTGGTATTTACCCCTGTAGTTATGGAACCTCTGCCATCATGCTCAATACATTTTTTAATTGGAAAAAGAATGACCCACACCCGATCCATACAATAGTCTTTACATTCTAACATTGTCATAATGCAATAAGAAAAATTAGAAAGCTCTTTACCGAATTATAGATAAATTATTAAATTTTGCTTGTATCAGACGACAGAAAATCAAGTGCATTTGAGTTTTGAATATAGAAATATGAAGGAGGAAGACTCATGCTGTAAAGGACACTTTGCTGAAGTTACCTTCCTCTTTCTGCAGTATATGAGGGCCCCTTCCCTGTATTTCAAGCTTTGCGTAACAGAGGAGCCATATTAGATCAAGGGCAAGCATCCATCCCTCTCTTCCCCCTTCTCAGCAGATCCTCAAATTTTGTTCAGCTGTCCACCCATTCTGCAGGTAAACCTTAAATCAGTCCATGGCAGCGAGTGTTTGGCCTTTTCCCTGGTCCACAGGAGTGCCTATAATTTAAATTCGCCGAATACAAGCTAAGGGAAGAATTTATCGTCGGGGAAGGAGATTTGCCTTCTCCCACTGGATGTGAATAGGAGAAC